ACTCAAAAAGTATACAACACGGGGGTAGGAAATAGCTTAGTTGATAAAATGCTTGCCACACAAGCAAGAGCTTTAATTTAAATCCCAGAACCCTCACAAAATGCTGGGCGGAGTGGCATACACTTGTAATCCCAGCACTGGGGAAGGAAGACAGAACCAAGCTAACTGGCAAGCCTCAAGTCTCATTTTATACGCTGTCTCAAAAAACTAAGTAGACGGTGTCCTGAGGAACCATCAAAGCTGACCTCTGGTATTCACTGATAAACATACAAATACACACTCACCTGCACACACACATACACAAAGTAAAGGATTTGTTCAAAGGTCATGGAAAACCCAAAGAAGCTCCGAATGGCTAAAACTGGAATAATCTGAATAAAGAGTCCACACTGATGTAAATAACTGGATAATTATGTAACAGAAAAGAAGGGTAGCTATTCCGTAAAAAATACTTACTAATATAGATGGAATGAAGGGAATAGGATACTCACCATTAAATGAATATAACAGAAATAATTGGGTTGAAAATTTATCAGGCTCAAGTTTGATGAGAAACAATATTTACATAATTGCAAAGTATCTGTAGAGCATATTAATGATTAAAAAATGTAAGCCAAATTAAGGGCTCACACCTGTATCTTAATACTCAGAAATCTGAGTCAAGAGGATCACAAGATAAAGGCTTGCCTAGGCTACTGAGTGACCCCCAAAAGAAAATAAAAACAAAAACTGGGCTAGATGTATAGCTCAGGGATAAAGCTCTTCCTTAGAAGGTACCAGTTCGTTTGCTTTCCCACGGCTGTGATAAACACCATGGCCAAAAGTAACCTGCTTTGTTTTTTGATTTTTGGTTTTTTTCCTTTTCTTCTTCTTGCTTTCCTGAGACAAGGTCTCACTTGAGACAATGTATCCTTGACTGTTCTGGAACCAGCTATGTAGACCTGGCTGGCCTCCCAAGTGCTGGGATTAAAGGTGTGCACTGTAACAGCTGGCCTAATAACCATCAATTGACAAGACAATTTAAAATCACCCAGGAGACAGACCAGGGATATCTGAGAGGGAGTTTCTAGATTGGGTTAATGGATGTGGGAATCTCCCTTAAATATGAGTGGTATTATTCCATGAGCCCCAGATGAATGAAATGGAAGAGACAAGCTTCCCCATGATGTCATCCCCACTTGGAAATGAGAGCCAGAATGAATATGTATTTCACTAAGATGCTTTTGCTAGGTATTTAGTAACACAACAAAGCAGAGGCTGAAAAGATGGCTCTGTCATCAAGGACAAACTTCACTTCCAGAAGACCCAAGTTCAACTGCCAGTACTTACACTGGACATGACTTCAACTTTAGAATTCAATACCTCTGACTTTCCCAGGTATCAGCATGCCATGTACATATCCACACACATATACTTTTACTTTTGAGACAAAAACATACCCACTTATATATACATTTTTTTTTTAAATCGGATCTTGCTTTTTGTTCAGACAGTAAATCAGACTGGCCTTGAACTCACAGGGATCCACCTGTTCCTGCATCTCACATATAACTAAAAACAGTAAAATGAACCATTGAAAAAAAAAAACCGTAATGAATAGTAGTAATGTTGCACACCTTTAATCCCAGAACTTGGGAGACAGAGGCAGGCAGATCTCTGAGTTTGAGACCAGTCTGATCTACAGAGCAAGTTCCATGACAGCCAGGGCTACACAAAGAAACCTTGTTTCAAAACCACAAAACCAAACAAACAAATTTAATAAATTTGAATAATCTGGGGCTAGAGAAACAGCTTAGCAGTTAAGAGTACTTGTTGCCCTTGCAAGGGACCCAGGTTTGACTCCTAGCACCCACAGGATGGCTAAAGCACACACAAAGCTAGCTCTAGGCAGTCCAACAGGCATGCACTTAGTGCACATACTGCATGCAGCCAAACATACACATAAAGTAAAATGGATAAAACCTAAAAAATAGAAAAACTGAAAAAGACCTAATCCAAGGTACTCCTTAAATCATTCATTATCAAACAATTTCAGGAGTAAACAAATGAGGGTAAATTAGGAAAAGGCAAACGTATTTTTATAGTAAATATGTAACTATACTTTTTTTTTTTTTAAGATCAGCATGCCTCTGCCTTGTGAGTGCTGGGATTGAAAAGGTACACCAGCACTGCCCAGCAACCTATTTTTGAGTCTCATAAAAAGCTTAACATTCATAATAGGCTGGGAGGTGGTGGCGCACGCCTTTAATCCCAGCACTTGGGAGGCAGAGGCAGGCGGATTTCTGAGTTCAAGGCCAGCCAGGTCTACAGAGTGAGTTCCAGGACAGCCAGGGCTACACAGAGAAACCCTGTCTCGAAAAAACAAAACAAAACAAAAAAACATTCATAATAAAATGAAGTATACTTACCCTAAACTGTCCATATAATGATATCATGGAAAAGAAAAGAACAACAGCCAGTGGACCCCAAAAGTCAGGATTGTCTCTCACCACTTGTCTATTAAAACCAACCGATGGCATTGGCATCAAAACACAGCGGATTTTATAGTAAATATCCTTTAGATCAATGTCCAATTCTTCCCTATAATTCAAAAATAAGATTCTTAAAAAATGTAGTTTTGAATAGTAAAACAGGTTTAAGAGAACTTTAAACAAGACAGTATGATATCCATAAGTCAATATCTGCATTTGAAGTACGTATTAGACTGATTCCATGGTAAACAATAATACCTCAACCTTAGAGATGTTGAAACATCTCACAATCTTGCAATTGCTGGTGTTTTGAAATTGTTAGCAGTATGGAGTGAGAACAATGCTTCCAGGATCTGCCTCTGTCCCAGTACCGGGATAAAGCTGTATGCCACGTTGCATGGAAATAATTACGTTTTAAACCTGAATTTCAGCCTAAATACTCAAGAATCTCGCCTCTTTTAGATGATACTGATTATCTGGGATAAGAGCCTATCTGTTTATGTGTGTGAGTCTCACTGAGTATCCTAACAAAGACCACCTGTCAGTCTCTAGAGTGTTGGGATTACAGGAGTGTGGCAGCAGAGTGAATCTTGTTGTGAGTGAATGTCTGTGTAAGTATATGAACAGCTCTGTGTGGTCAAACTGCCTGCCCTTTGTGGGTCCAGAGGAAAGGGGTTGAGTGTTCTTCTCCATCACTCTCTACATATTCCTCTGGAGAGACGGTCCCTCCCTGACCTACATCTAGGTTTTCTGGGGGTAAACTCCTGATTCTCATGTTTCTACCTCTCAAATACTGAGATTATAAGCATAGTACAAAGCCTGGCTTTCAGGCTTTATAGATTTTAAGAAGTTTGTTTTTTTATGAGTGTTTTATCTGGGTGTATGTCTGTGTAATGCATGAGTGCCTGTTGCCCTCAGAGAAGAATTTGGATCCCTTAAAACTGAATTACAAGAGTTGTGAACCACCTTGTAGCTACTATGAATAGTGCTTTCAACCACTGTGCCATTTCTCCAGTCCCCATTTTAAAAATTCCTGACAACCACTGGGGCATGTTTTTAATCCTAAAGACTTGGAAGGCAGAGGTAGGCAGATCTCTTGAGTTCCAGGACAGCCTGGTCTCAGAGCAAGTTCCAGAACAGCCAGGGCTACACAAGAAACCCTGATTTGGAAAAACAAAAATAGCCCGGCGGCGGTGGTGGTGCACGCCTTTAATCCCAGCACTTGGGAGGCAGAGGCAGGCGGATTTCTGAGTTCGAGGCCAGCCTGGTCTACAGAGCGAGTTCCAGGACAGCCACGACTACACAAGAGACCCTGACTTGGAAAAACAAAAACAAACAAAATTCCTGACATCCAGGTTAAAGAAACACTCTTTCATTATTGCTTCGGTTTTCTTTTGTTTATTCCTGAAATGGGGTTTCTCTGTGCAGCCCTGGCTGTCCTAGAACTCTTTGTAGATCAGGCTGGCTTCAACCTCACATATATCCACCTGCTTTTACCTTCTGAGTGCTGGCATTAAAGGCATGCACCTCAGCTGACCTGCACTGCACACTGGTTTTTAAAGGGACAGGCAAAACTGAAAACTGCAATTGTTTTTAAAGATTTGTGTATGTGTTTCTGTAAGCGTATGAAATCAGACTCTGACAGTGTCAGATTCTCAGGAGCTAGAGCTATAGGCAGCTGTGTTTGCCTGACATGGGTGCTGGACTAAATTCAAGTTCTCTGAAATAGCAGGAAGCACTCTTAACTGCTGAACCATCTCTGTTCTTCACCAAAAGCTTTCTCTATTTCATCTCTATTGTTTTTTCACTAAAAAGGATAAGATTTTCCTCATCTGTCTTTAAAAATATCGAAAACTGTAAGCATCCTACAGATTAGGTCTTAAAAACACATATTACATACAAAAGTGGCTTGTTATCTTCAGGATCCTCATCTTCAACTTCCAAAAGCCAGCCATAGCCCCTTTGCCTCAGAAATGTAGTAGCTGTAGATTCTTTGATATAATCTCCACTTACATCGAGGTTTAATTTGACATCTGGAGCTGCTATAGAACCACTGAGATCTTAAGAGAGAAGACAAATCTGTAAACCAGGGTGGAATGTGCAAATCTGAACCCGAATGTACATATATATTCAAGTAATTATCATTTGCCAATCTCTGTGAACATCTGCTATTACATATGTATATATATAACCTTCAAATTTTATCAATGAAAAAAATTTCTCATCAATGACAGACACTGTACTACTTTTCATTTTACAATTAGAGAAAAACAAAACAAAAGAGAAGAGGTGATTGACAAGCCAGGTACAATGGAACATGCCTGTAATTCCAGCACTCAGGGGGCTAAGGCATGAAGCCCAAGCTGACCTCAATTTCAATACTTAGCCAAGGATGATACTGAAGTTCGGACCTTCCTGCTCTACCTCCCAAATGCTAGGATGAGTCACCATACGCACTATATTTATATATTGCTGAAGATTAAACTCAGTCTCCTGCCTGTTATCAACTAAACTGCAGTCAGTCCTAAGTCATACTTTTTACGGCAAACATCATCCCACTGAAATTTTTACGTTATTCCTATCAGTCCATTATCTGGTAGGATACATCTTGTAAAATATCATCTTCATAAAATTTTCCTGATTTTGTTGTTGTTTTGTCTGAGACAAGGTCTCACTTTAGTCCAGGCTGGTCTTTAACTGTTGTTAGTCCCCAGGTCTCAGCCTCCCGAGAGAAAAGATTACAGATGTGATCCGCCTTGCCTGGCTGTCTCTGATCTAGTTAGAAAGTATTTTTTTTCTTCTCTTTAAATCTTTTATGAAATTCTAAGCCAGTGCTTCCAAAAAATATTAATGTGTTTATGAATTACCCAGGGACCCTGATAAAATATAAATCCAGATTAAAGGAGATGATACCTACATGTGTGGCAGGTCATGTTAATTGTGCTGGCCTGTAGACATGAACCAGATACAAAATTATCCATTTGTCTGACAGAAACTGAGGACATCCAGTTATTCTAGAGGCTAAGGAAAGATCACATGTTCATAGCAATATTGGGCTACACACTGAGTTCAAGGCCAGCCTGAGTAACTTAAGTGTGATTGTCTCAGACTAAAATTTAAAATAGGGGCTGAACTGTATGTGGTAGTATATGCCTTTTATTCCTGAAGTAGGGAGGCAGAGGTTAACTTTTCTACACAGAGTTCTAAGCCAACAGAGTGACATAGTGAGATGTTGTCTCACCTTTAAAAGAAGAAAAAAATACAAAAACCAAAAAAGAATAAAAAAATCAAGGAAGAAACAAGTCATATTTATAGAAATCAGAATTCTGAGAAACTTTACACTCATCTCTAAACTGAAATTTCTTTTCTTTCTACTTTGTTGAGGCAGGGTTTCAATGTGTAATCCTGGCTGGCAGAGAACTTTGTAAGTATGTAGTCCAAGCTGGCCTTGAATTCAGTTATCGATCTGCCTCTGCCTTCCCAGTGCTGGCATCGAAGGGTTCATCACCAGACATGCCCTAGTCTCTTCTATATCGAAATCAACTTGTCTTTTCATATTGGGCAGTTCAATCTGGTCCCAGGGAAGTAAATAAAATTAAATAAAAGCAAAATCCAAAAACAGGTTACAGGGAGTTGAACTAAGGAGTGCGGGAGAGATCTCGTACAGCAGAAAAGTCTTTTTGTTTTGTTTTTGTGTAGAGCAAGCACAATCGCTTGCTCAAAACAGTACAAGCCAAGTCTGTAGAGACTGTTGGGGGGACTTAGTTGAATTCCTGAAGTTTCAAATGCTCCTAGAGTTTTCTGAATACTATGATCAAACACTACAAACTGTGTGGACATAGGGATCTGGGCAAGAGATCAAATTCAATTTTTTAAAAAAGCACGTCTCCTTTGGAGGAAGTTCTCCTTAAGCTGCCAAAAGTAACCTCAGTGGGGAAAAAGGTTTTCCTATTAATAGCAGAACAACACAGACCCACTTTGTCCTCACTCTTTGATCCCTCACTCTTGAGTAACTGCGGAGCAGAGCATTTCAGAAAGAAAACCTTACACAGATCGGCGGGTTCACTTGTGACCCAGACACCCGGGGACTCAGCCCGCAGCCTTGGTGGTGTGGCGCAACGCAGAGCCGGCACCCCGCACCCTCCCGAGTCACCGGAGGCCTCCGGGAAGGCCCAGGGAGCACAGGGGCGGAGTCCCCACTCTGCCACCCCCGCCCCGGAGCCCCGTCAGCCTCGGCCTCACCCTCTGCGTCCGCCGAAGAGACAAAGGTGAAGTCCCCGTTGGCAGGCGCATAGGCTGGGGGCGGGCCCGGAGGCTGCATCCCGCCGGCCTCGGAGCCCGCGGCGGTGCTGAGAAGCGGCTGGGCCCGGGCCTCGGGGACGAC